CAGGAGGACAGATATTACGTAACAGTTCAGTAGACTTTGTTTCTTTTGTTTCTAGGTCTCTTCTTGGGAGATTGTCCAATATTCACTGCCACAGGATGACTATATTACAGTTCAGTAGCGCTTTTGTTTCTTTTGTTTCTAGTCTCTTCTTGGGGATTGTCCAGTATTCACTGCCATACAGGAGGACTGATATTACGTAACAGTTCAGTAGCCTTTGTTTCTTTTTTGCTTCTAGTCTCTTCTTGGGGAGATTGTCCAATATTCACTGCCCACAGGAGGACTGATATTACGTAACAGTTCAGTAGCCTTTGTTTCTTTTGCTTATAGTCTCTTCTTGGGAGATTGTCCAATATCCACTGCCATACAGGGGACTGATATTACGTAACAGTTCAGTAGCCTTTGTTTCTTTTTTTGGAAATCTCTTCTTGGGAGATTGTCAATATTCTTACAGGAGGACTGATATTAGTTCAATGCTTTGGAGTCTCTTCTTTGAACAATATTCACTGCCATAGGAGGACTGATATTACGTAACAGTTCAGTAGCTTCTGTTTCTTTTGTTTGCCACACAGGAGAACTGATATTACGTAACAGTTCTAGACTTTGTTTCTTTTCTTAGTCTCTTGGGAGATTGTCCAGTATTCACTGCCATACAGGAGGACTGATGTTACGTAACAGCCTTTGTTCAGCTAGTCTCTTCTTGGGAGATTTCAGTTTTCTTTTGTAACAGTTCAGTAGCCTTCATTTCTTTTTCTTGGGGGATTGTCCAATATTCACTGCCATACAGGACTGGTAACAGTTCAGTATGCTTTATTCTCGGTAACAGTTCAGTACAGGAGGACTGATTTGTAACAGTTTCTGTTTTTTGCTTATAGTCTCTTCTTGGGAGATTGTCAATATTCACTGCCATACAGGACTGATGTTGATAGTTACGTCGATTCAGTAGCCTTTGTTTCTTTTAATTTCTAGTCTCTTCTTGGGGAGATTGTCCAATATTCACTGCCATACAGGACTGATATTACATGCGTTCAGTAGCCTTTGTTTCTTTGCTTCTAGTCTCTTGGGGAAATTGTCAGTATCCACTGCCATACAGGAGGACTGATATTAACAATTCAAGGAGACAATACTTGAGAGACAATAACCCCTGCTAATTTCATACTTTGTTTCTTTTGCTTCAAGGTCTCTTCTTGGGGGAGATTGTCCAATATCCACTGCCATACAGGAGGACTGATATTGTAACAGTTCAGTAGCCTTTGTTTTTGCTTCTAGTCTCTTCAGGAGACTCCAGTATCCACTGCCATACAGGAGGACTGATATTACGTAACAGTTCAGTACCCTTTCTTTTCTTTTAGCTTCTAATGATCTCTTCTTGGGGAGATTGTCAGTATCCACTGCCACACAGGATTACTGATATTACATGTAACAGTTCAGTAGCCTTTGTTTCTTTTTGCTTCTAGTCTCTTCTTGGGGAGATTGTCATCTTCACCGCCATACAGGAGGACTGATGTTACGTAACAGTTCAGTAGCCTTTGTTTCTTTTGCTTCTAGTCTTCTTGGGAGATTGTCCAATATTCACTGCCATACAGGAGAACTGATGTTACGTAACAGTTCAGTAGCCTTTTTTGTTTTTTGCTTCTAAGTCTCTTTTGGGGAGATTGTCCAATATTCACTGCCATAGAGGAGGACTGATATTACGTAACAGTTAGTAGCCTTTGTTTCTTTTAGTCTCTTCTAGTCTCTTCTTGGGGAGATTGTCAATCTCTTCTTATTCACTGCCATACAGGAGGACTGATGTTACATAACAGTTCAGTAGCCTTTGTTTCTTTCCTTTAGTCTCTTCTTGGGGGAGATTGTCCAATATTCACTGCCATATAGGAGGACTGATATTACGTAACAGTTCAGTAGCTCTTTGTTTCTTTTTGCTTCTAGTCTTCTTCTTGGGGAGATTGTCCAGTATTCACTGCCATACCAGGAGGACTGATATTACATAACAGTTCAGTAGCCTTTGTTTCTTTTCTAGTTCTTCTTTTGTCAATATTCACTGCCATACAGGATGGCTGATGTTACGTAACAGTTCAGTAGTTTCTTTTTCTTCTAGTCTCTTCTTGGGGAGATTGTCCAGTATTCCTGCCATACAGGAGGACTGATATTACGTAACAGTTCAGTACCCTTGTTTCTTTGCTTCTAGTCTCTTCTTGGAGATTGTCAATATTCACTGCCATACAGGAGGACTGATATTACGTAACAGTTCAGTAGCCTTTGTTTCTTTGCTTCCTAGTCTCTTCTTGGGAGATTGTTCAATATTCACTGCCATATAGGAGGACTGATATTACGTAACAGTTCAGTAGCTTTTCTTTGTTTCTTTAGCCTAGTCTCTTCTTGGGATATTGTCCAATATTCACTGCCATACAGGAGGACTGATGTTATACATAGTAGCCTTTGTTCTTTTTCTTTATCTCTTTTTGGGAGTTTAAATTTTACAGGACTGATATTGTAACAGTTCAATAGCCTTTGTTTCTTTTGCTTCTAGTCTCTTCTTGGGAGATTGTCCAATATTCACTGCCATAAGGAGGACTGATAACACTTCAGTGGCCTTTGTTTCTTTTGCTACAGTCTCTTCTTGGGGAATTTTCCAATATTCCTGCCATACAGGAGGACTGATATTACGTAACAGTTCAGTAGCCTTTGTTCTTACAGCTAGTCTCTTCTTGGAGATTGTCCAATATTCACTGCCATACAGGAGGACTGATATTACGTAACATTTCAGTTCTTTGTTTTTCTTTCTTTTCTAGTCTCTTCTTGGGAGATTGTCCAATTTCACTGCCACACAGGAGGACTGATCTTACGTAACAGTTCAGTTATCTTTGTTTTTTTTTTGCTTTTAGTCTTTCTTGGGAGATTGTCATTATTCACTCATTACAGGAGGACTGATATTTTAACAGTTCAGTACCCTCTGTTTCTTTGCTTCCTTCTTCAGTACCAATATTCTGCCATACAGGTAGGACTGATTTACGTAACAGTTTTAATTTTCTTTCTTTTTCTTCTTGGGAGATTTCCAATATTCACTGCCATACAGGAGGACTGATATTACGTAACAGTTCAGTAGCCTTTGTTTCTTTTTCTTCTAGTCTCTTCTTGGGGAGATTGTCCAATATTCACTGCCATACAGGAGGACTGATATTACGTAACAGTTCAGTACCCTTTGTTTCTTTTGCTTCTAGTCTCTTCTTGGGGAGATTACGTAACGGTTCAGTATTTTCTTCTAGTCCATACTTTCAGGAGGACTGATATTACGTAACAGTTCAGTAGCCTTTGTTTCTTTTCTTCTAGTCTCTTCTTTTCTTTGTGTCCAATATTCACTGCCATACAGGAGGACTGATATTACGCAACAGTTCAGTAGCCTTTTTTCTTTTTGCTTCTAGTCTCTTCTTTCTTTTTGTCCAATATTCACTGCCATATTTTATTTTACGTAACAGTTCAGTAGCCTTTGTTTTTTTCCCTTTAGTCTCTTCTTGGGGAGATTGTCAGTATTCTCCACAGGAGGACTGATATTTCGTAACAGTTCAGTTTTTTGTTTCTTTTGTTTCTAGTCTGTTCTTCAGAGATTGTCCTTTCCATTCTTTGGAGGACTGATATTCCGTAACAGTTTATTGCAGCCTTTGTTTCTTTGCTTTTATTCTCTTCTTGGTTCGTTGTCCTTTATTCTTCCTTTCTCCAGGCTTCTGATATTCTTTCTTTTCAGTAGCCTTTGTTTCTTTTTTTTTAGTCTCTTAGAGATTGTCCAGTATTCTTTGCCTTCCAGGAGACTGATATTCTTTTTTCATTTCCATAACTTTTGTTTCTTTTTTTTTCTAGTCATTTTCTTTTTTTTTTGTCCAATATTTTCTTCCTTTCAGGAGAACTGATATTACTAACAGTTCAGTACCCTTTCTTTCTTTTCTTCTCTAGTTTTCTTGGGGAGATTGTCCTTTATTCACTGCCTTTCCAGAGGACTGATATTACGTAACAGTTCCAGTAGCCTTTTTTTTTTGCTTCTAGTCTCTTCTTTTGTTTATTCACTGCCATTCATAGAGGACTTGATATTACGTAACAGTTCTTTATTTGTTTCTTTTTGCTTTTTCTCTTCTTTTTCCAATATTCACTGCCATACAGGAGGACTGATATTACGTAACAGTTCATTAACCTTTGTTTCTTTGCTTCTAGTCTCTTCTTGGGAGATTGTTATCCTGCCACACAGGAGGACTGATTTCTTAACAGTTCAGTAACCTCTTTCTTTTTTAACCTCTTCTTGGGACATTGTCCAATATTACCTTCATACAGGAATTTGATTTACTAAACAGTTGTCAGGGGCCTTTTGTTTCTTTTGCCGCGAAAAGTCCTCTTCTTGGGGAGATTCACCTCTGATGCCATAAGGAGGACTGTTTACGTAACAGTTCAGCAGACTTTGTTTCTTTGCTTCTAGTCTCTCAAAGATTGTCCTATTCATCTTCCATGGGAGGATTGATATCATTACGTAACAGTTTTGTACCTTCGTTTTGTATTATCTTCTTGAGATTGTCCAATATTCACTGATACTTTGACTGATTACGTAACAGTTAGTAGCCTTTGTTTCTTTAACTTCTAGTCTCTTCTTGGGGAGGATTGTCCAATATTCACTGCCATACCTGATATTCGTCATTCCTTTTTCTTGTTTCTTTTGGTTCTAGTCCCTTCTTGGGAGATTGTCCACATTCATCGCCATGGGATTCCTGATATTTTCAACCGTTCCTTTCTTGTTTCTTTTGCTTTAGTCTCTTCTTGGGGAGATTGTCATCATTTCTTGCTTTACAGGGAGTTCTGATTTTACGTAACAGTTCAGCAGTACTGTTTCTTTTTCTTCTAAGTCCTTCTTGGGAGATTGTCCAATATTCTGCCATACAGGAGAACACCTTTTTCATTCAACAGTTCCGTTTTTTGTTTCTTTTCCTTCTAGTCTCTTCTTGGGGAGATTCTCCTTCTTCGTTATGGGAGGATTGATATTCTTTCCTTTTCCAGCCTTTGTTTCTTTTGATTCTAGTCTCATCTTCTTGGGTTATTGTCAGTATTCCCTGCCATACAGGAGGACTGATATTCGTAACAGTTCAGCCTTTGTTTCTTATTTTCTAGTCTCTTCTTAGATTGTCCAATATTCACTTTTACATACAGGATAGACTTGATATTGCAGTAACAGTTCAGTAGCCTTTGTTTCTTTGCTTCTAGTCCTTCTTCTTGGGAGATTGTCCAGTATTCCACCTACAGGAGGACTGAATTACGTAAAACAGTTCAGTAGCCTTTATTTCTTTTGCTTGGGGTCTCTTCTTGGGGAGATTGACCAATATTCCCCACTGCCATATGTGAGGGTTGATATTATGTACAGTTCAGTAGCCTTTGTTTCTTTGCTTCTAGTCTCTTCTTGGGGAGATTGTCCAGTATCCACTGCTATACAGGAGGACTGATATTACGTGTAACAGTTCAGTAGCCTTTGTTTCTTTGTTTCAGTCTCTTCAGGGAGATTGTCCAGTATCCACTGCCAAGGCGGAGGAATTATATTACGTAACAGTTCAGTAGCCTTTGTTTCTTTTGCTTCCTAGTCTCTTCTTGGGAGATTGTCCAATATTCACTGCCATAGAGGACTGATATTTGCGTAACAGTTCAGTAGCCTCTGCTTATTTGCTTCTAGTCTCTTCTTGGGAATTGTCCAATATTCACTGCCATACAGGGAGGACTGATATTACGTAACAGTTCAGTAGACTTTGTTTCTTTTGCTTCTAGTCTCTTTTGGGAGATTGTCATGTTCACTGCCATACAGGAGGACTGATATTACGTAACAGTTCAGTGGCCTTTGTTTCTTTTGTTTCAGTCTCTTCTAGGGAGATTGTCCAGTATCCACTGCCATACAGGGAGGACTGATATTATGTAACAGTTCAGTAGCCTTTGTTTTCTTTGCTTCCTAGTCTCTTCTTGGAGATTGGGTGTTAATATTCACTGCCATACAGAGGACTGATATTACGTAACAGTTCAGTAGCCTTTTGTTTCTTTTTGCTTCTAGTCTCTTCTTGGGGAGATTGTCAATATTCATCGCCACACAGGAGGACTGATATTACGTAACATTTCAGTAGCCTTTTGTTTTTTTGCTAGTCTCTTCTTGGGAGATTGTCCAATATTCACTGCCATACAGGATGGCTGATGTTATGCAACAGTTCAGTAGCCTTTGTTCTTTTTGTTTCTAGTCTCTTCTTGGAGATTGTCCAATACCACTGCCTACAGGAGGACTATTGATATTACGTAACAGTTCAGTACCCTTTGTTTCTTTTGCTTCTAATCTCTTCTTGAGATTGTGTCAATATTCACTGCCATACAGGAGGACTGATATTACGTAACAGTTCAGTAGCCTTTGTTTCTTTGCTTCTAGTCTCTTCAGAGATTGTCCAATATTCACTGCCGCCATACAGGAGGACTGATATTACGCAACGGATTCAGTAGCCTTTGTTTCTTTTTGCTTCTAGTCTCTTCTTGGGGAGATTGTCCAATATTCACTGCCACACAGGAGGATGATTACGTAACCAGTTCAGTAGACTTTGTTTCTTTTTGTTTAGTCTATTCTTGGGGAGATTGTCCAATATTCAATGCCATACAGGAGAACTGATATTACGTAACAGTTCAGTAGCCTTTTGTTTCTTTTGCTTCTAGTCTCTTCTTGGGGAGACTTGTCCAATATTCACTGCCATACAGGAGGATTGATGTTACGTAACAGTTCAGTAGCTTTGTTTCTTTTGCTTCTAGTCTCTTCTTGGGGAGATTGTCCAATATTCACTGCTATACAGGAGGACTTGATGTTATTGTGCAACATTCAGTAGCCCTTTGTTTTTTGCTGGTTTAGTCTCTTCTTGGGAGATTGTCCAATATTCACTGCCATTTGGGAGGACTGATATTACGCACAGTTCAGTAGCCCTTTTTTTCTTTTGCTTCTAGTCTCTTCTTGGGGAGATTGTCCAATATTCACTGCCACACAGGAGGACTGATATTACGCAAATAGTTCAAGTACCTTTTTTCTTTTGCTTCTAGTCTCTTCTTGGGAGATTGTCCAATATTCACTGCTACACAGGAGGACTGATATTACGCAAAAAGTTCAGTAGCCTTTTTTCTTTTTGCATCTATCCTCTTCTTGGGGAGATTGTCCAATATTACTGCCACACAGGGAGGACTGATATTACGTAACAGTTCAGCAGCCTTGTTTCTTTTGCTTCTAGTCTCTTCTGGGGAGATTATTCAACAATCACTGCCATACTGGGAGAACTGATATTACGTAACAGTTCAGTAGCCTTTGTTTCTTTTTGATTCTAGTCTCTTCTTGGGGAGATTGTCCAATATTCACTGCCATACAGGAGGACTGATATTACGTCAGTTCAGTAGCCTTTGTTTCTTTTGCTTCTAGTCTCTTCTTGGGGAGATTGTCCAATATTCACTGCCATACAGGAGGACTGATATTACGTAACAGTTCAGTAGCCTTTGTTTTTTTTGCTTCTAGTCTCTTCTTGGGGAGATTGTCCAATATTCACTGCCATACAGGAGGACTGATATTACGTAACAGTTCAGTAGCCTTTGTTTCTTTTTGCTTCTAGTCTCTTCTTGGGGAGATTGTCCAGTATTCACTGCCATACAGGAGGACTGATATTACGTAACAGTTCAGTAGCCTTTGTTTTTTTTTGCTTCTAGTCTCTTCTTGGGAGATTGTCCAATATCCACTGCCATACAGGAGGACTGATATTACGTAACAGTTCAGTAGCCTTTGTTTTCTTTGCTTCTAGTCTCTTCTTGGGAGATTGTCCAGTATTCACTGCCATACAGGAGGACTGATATTACGTAACAGTCTAGTAGCCTTTGTTTCCCTTTTGTTTAAATTTCTTCTGGGAGATTGTCCAATATTCACCGCCATACAGGAGAATTTGAGTTATTTAACAGTTCAGTAGCCTTTGTTTCTTTTTTCTAGTCTCTTCTTGGGAGATTGTCCAGTATTCACTGCCATACAGGAGATATTGTTACAATTAACAGTTCAGTAGCCTTTTGTTTCTTTGCTTTTAGTCTCTTCTTGGGGAGATTGTCCAATATTCACTGCCATGGGAGGACTGATATTACGTAACAGTTCAGTAGCCTTTGTTTCTTTTTGCTTCTAGTCTCTTCTTGAGGAGATTGTCAATATTCACTGCCATACGGGAGGACTGATATTACATGTGCAACAGTTCAGTAGCCTTTGTTCTTTTTTTCTAGTCTCTTCTTGGGGGAGATTGTCCAATATTCACTGCCACAGGAGGATTTGATATTATGTAACAGTTCAGTAACCTTTGTTTCTTTTACTTCTAGTATCTTCTTGGGGTTAATGTCCAATATTCACTGCCATAGTAGAGGACTGATATTACGTAACAGTTCAGGTAGCCTTTGTTTCTTTGCTTCCTAGTATCTTCTTGGGAGATTGTCCAATATTCACTGCCATACAGGAGGACTGATATTACGTAACAGTTCAGTAGCCTTTGTTTTTTTTGCTTCTAGTCTCTTCTTGGGGAGATTGTCCAATATTCACTGCCATACAGGAGGACTGATATTACGTAACAGTTCAGTAGCCTTTGTTTCTTTTGTTTAGTCTTTCTGGGGAGATTGTCCAATATTCATGCCATACAGGAGGACTGATATTACGACACAGTCTAGAAGCCTTTTTCTTTTGTTTCTAGTCTCTTGGGGAGGATTGTCCAGTTATTCACTATATATACAGGAGGATTGATAATATGTAACAGTTCAGTAGCCTTTGTTTTTGCTTCTAGTCTCTTTGGGAGATTGTCCATCCACTGGCATACAGGATGACTGATACATGCAACAGTTCAGTAGCCTTTGTTTTGCTTCTAGTTTCTTCTTGGGGAGATTGTCCAATATTCACTGCCACAGGAGACTGATAATACGTAACAGTTCAGTAGCCTTTTGTTTCTTTTGCTGCTTCTAGTCTATTCTTGGGAAGATTGTCCAGTATCCACTGCCATACAGGGAGTGACTGATATTACGTACAGTTCAGTAGCCTTTGTTTCTTTTTGCTTCTAGTCTCTTCTTGGGGGAGATTGTCCAGTATCCACTTTTTCACAGGAGGACTGATATCCGTAACAGTTCAATGGCCTTGTTCTTTTTTGCTTCTAGTCTCTTCTTGGGGAGATTGTCCATTATCCACTGCCCTTCTGGGAGGGACTGATATTGCAGCAACAGTTCAGTAGCCTTTATTTCTTTTGTATAGTCTCTTCTTGGGAGATTGTCAATATTCAGCAGCCATACAGGAGAACTGATATTACGTAACAGTTCAGTAGCCTTTGTTTTCTTTTGCTCTAGTCTCTTCTTGGGGAATTGTCCAATATTCATCGCCATACAGGAGGACTGATATTACGTAACAATTCAGTAGCCTTTTTTTTTTTTGCTTCCTAGTCTCTTCTTGGGAGATTGTCCAATATTCCACCACTCCCTTACAGGAGGATCATATTACTGTAACAGTTCCAGTAGCCTTTGTTTCTTGCTTTCTAGTCTCTTCTTGGGGTGATTGTCCATTATCCACTGCCACAGGGAGGACTGATATTACGTAACAGTTCAGTAGCCTTTGTTTCTTTGGCTTCAGTCTCTTCTTTGTGAGATTGTCCAATATTCACTGCCATACTGGGAGGACTGATATTACGTAACAGTTCAGTAGCCTTTGTTTCTTTGCTTCTCAGTCTCTTCAGAGATTGTCCAATATTCACTGCCACAGGAGGATTGATGTTACGTAACAGTTCCAGCCAGCCTTTGTTTCTTTTGTTCCTAGTCTCTTCTTGGGGAGATTGTCCAATATTCACTGCCATACAGGAGGACTGATATTACGAACAGTTCAGTGGCCTTTGTTTCTTTTGCTTCTAGTCTCTTCTTGGGAGATTGTCCAATATTCACTGCCATATGGGAGGACTGATATTACGTAACGGTTCAGTAGCCTTTGTTTCTTTTTTTAGAGTCTCTTCTTGGGGAGATTGTCCAATATCCACTGCTATACTGGATGACTGATATTACTTAACAGTTTGCACCTTTTTTCCTTTTTGCTTCTAGTCTCTTCTTGGGAGATTGTCCAATATTCACTGCCGCTACAGGGAGGACTGATATTACGTAACAGTTCAGTAGACTGTTTTCTTTTGCTTCCAGTCTCTTCTTGGGGAGATTGTCCAATATTCACTTTGCCATGGGAGGACTGATATTTTCACGTAACAGTTCAGTAGCGCTGTTCTTTTGCTTCTAGTCTCTTCTTGGAGATTGTCCAACATTCACTGCCATACAGGAGGACTGATGTTACGTAACAGTTCAATAGCCTTTGTTTCTTTTGCTTCTAGTATCTTCTTGGGGAGATTGTCCAATACTCACTGCCTTGGGAGGACTGATATTACGTAACATTCAGTAGCCTTTGTTTCTTTTTGCTTCTAGTCTCTCTTGGGAGATTGTCCAATATTCACTGCCATACAGGAGGACTGATATTACGTAACAGTTAAAGTAGCCTTTGTTTTCTTGTTTCTAGTCTATTATTCTCACAGTGGGAGATTGTCCAACCTTGTTTCTTTGCTTCTATTCTCTTCTTTGATTGTCAGTATCCACCTTTGGGAGGACTGATATTACGTACCAGTTCAGTAGCCATTGTTTCTTTGCTTCTAGTCTCTTCTTGGGAGATTGTCCAGTATCCACTGCCAGGGTTAGGAGGACTGATATTACGTAACAGTTCCGTAGCCTTTGTTTCTTTTTGCTTCTAGTCTCTCTTGGGAGATTGTCCATTATTCACTGCCACAGGAGGTGACTGATATTATACAGTTCAGTAGCCTTTGTTTCTTTTCTTCCTAGTCTCTTCTTGGGAGATTGTCCAATATTCACTGCCGCTGGGAGAACTGATATTATGCAACAGTCTGCAGCCTTTGTTTCTTTTCTTCTAGTCTCTCTTCTTGGGAGATTATCCAATATCTACTGCCGCCTGGGGACTGATGTACGTAACAGTTCAGTACCCTTTGTTTCTTTTGCTTCTAGTCTCTTCTTGGGAGATTGTCCGGTATTCACTGCTATACAGGAGGATTGATGTGCAGCAACAGTTCAGTAGCCTTTGTTTCTTTTGCTTCTAGTCTCTTCTTGGGAGATTGTCCATTCACTGCCACACTGGGAGGACTGATATTACGTAACAGTTCAATGTGCTGTTTCTTTTGTTTCTTTTGCTTTGGGAGTTGTCCAATATTCACTGCCATCAGAGATTGTACGTTAGTTCAATGGCCTTTGTTTCTTTTGCTTCTACAGGAGGTCGGTATATTGCCACACAGGAGGACAGTTCATTGGTAGCCTTTGTTTCTTTTGCTTCTAGTCTCTTCTTGGGGAGTGTGTATTCACTGCCATACAGGAAGTTGATATTACGTAACAGTTCAGTAGCCTTTGTTTCTTTTGCTTCTAGTCTCTTCTTGGGAGATTGTCCATATCCACTGCTGCAAGGTTAGGAGGACTGATATTACGTAACAGTTCAGTAGCCTTGTTTCTTTTGTTTCAGTCTCTTCTGGGAGATTGTCCAATATTCACTGCTATACAGGAGGACTGATATTAAATAAAGTTATAGCCTTTGTTTCTTTTTGTTCAAGTCTCTTCTTGGGGAGATTGTCCAATATTCACTGCCATACAGGAGGACTGATATTACGTAACAGTTCAGTAGCCTTTGTTTCTTTTTGCTTCTAGTCTCTTCTTGGGGAGATTGTCCAATATTCACTGCCATACAGGAGGACTGATATTACGTAACAGTTCAGTAGCCTTTGTTTTTTTGCTTCTAGTCTCTTCTTGGGGAGATTGTCCAGTATCCACTGCCATACAGGAGGACTGATATTACGTAACAGTTCAGTAGCCTTTGTTTCTTTTTTTTCTTCTAGTCTCTTCTTGGGGAGATTGTCCAATATTCACTGCCATACAGGAGGACTGATATTACGTAACAGTTCAGTAGCCTTTGTTTTTTTTGCTTCTAGTCTCTTCTTGGGGAGATTGTCCAATATTCACTGCCATACTGGGAGGACTGATACACACAACAGTTCAGTAGCCTTTGTTTCTTTGCTTCTAAGAATCTCTTCTTGGGGAGATTGTCCAATATTCACTCGCCATACAGGAGGACTGATATCACGTAAGAGTTCAGTAGCCTTTGTTTCTTTGTTTCAACGTCTCTTTTGGGGAAATTGTCCAATATTCACTTAGCTTTTTGGGAAGACTGATATTACGTAACAGTTCAGTAGCGTCTTTGTTTCTTTCCCCTAAGAATCTTCTTGAGATATTTAAATTATTCACTGCCATTTTAGTATCCCTGATATTACGTCTTATGTTCAGTAGCCCTTTCTTTCTTTTGATTCTAGTCTCTTCTTGGGGAGATTGTTCGTGCTGCGCCCCTTTCGCTAGAGGATTTTGTAGTTTTTCCGTGTTTGCTATCAGCACTGTGTCATCTGTATCTATATTGTTATGATTGTGGCTGGCAATTGCGAACTTGCAAGAATTATAATTAATTTTGCGTAACAGTTCAGTAGCCTTTTTTTTTTTGCTTCTAGTCTCTTCTTGGGAGATTGTCCAATATTCACTGCCATACAGGAGGACTGATATTACGTAACAGTTCAGTAGCCTTTGTTTCTTTTGCTTCTAGTCTCTTCTTGGGGAGATTGTCCAATATTCACTGCCATACAGGAGGACTGATATTACGTAACAGTTCAGTAGCCTTTGTTTTTTTGCTTCTAGTCTCTTCTTGGGGAGATTGTCCAATATTCACTGCCATACAGGAGGACTGATATTACGTAACAGTTCAGTAGCCTTTGTTTCTTTTGCTTTCTAGTCTCTTCTTGGGGAGATTGTCCAATATTCACTGCCATACAGGAGGACTGATATTACGTAACAGTTCAGTAGCCTTTGTTTCTTTTTGCTTCTAGTCTCTTCTTGGGGAGATTGTCCAATATTCACTGCCATACAGGAGGACTGATATTACGTAACAGTTCAGTAGCCTTTGTTCTTTTTGCTTCTAGTCTCTTCTTGGGGAGATTGTCCAATATTCACTGCCATACAGGAGGACTGATATTACGTAACAGTTCAGTAGCCTTTGTTTCTTTTGCTTTCTAGTCTCTTCTTGGGGAGATTGTCCAGTATTCACTGCCATACAGGAGGACTGATATTACGTAACAGTTCAGTAGCCTTTGTTTCTTTTTAGTCTCTTCTTGGGGAGATTGTCCAATATCCACTGCCATACAGGAGGACTGATATTACGTAACAGTTCAGTAGCCTTTGTTTTTTTTCTTCTAGTCTCTTCTTGGGGAGATTGTCCAATATTCACTGCCATAGGAGGACTGATATTACGTAACAGTTCAGTAGCCTTTGTTTCTTTTGCTTCTAGTCTCTTCTTGGGGAGATTGTCCAGTATCCACTGCCATACAGGAGGACTGATATTACGTAACAGTTCAGTAGCCTTTGTTTCTTTTGCTTCTAGTCTCTTCTTGGGGAGATTGTCCAATATTCACTGCCATACAGGAGGACTGATATTACGTAACAGTTCAGTAGCCTTTGTTTCTTTTGCTTCTAGTCTCTTCTTGGGGAGATTGTCCAGTATCCACTGCCATACAGGAGGACTGATATTACGTAACAGTTCAGTAGCCTTTGTTTCTTTTGCTTCTAGTCTCTTCTTCTAGAGATTGTCAATATTCACTGCCATACAGGAGGATTGATATTACGTAACAGTTCAGTAGCCTTTGTTTCCTTCTAGTCTCTTCTTGGGGAGATTGTCCAATATTCACTGCCATACAGGAGGACTGATATTACGTAACAGTTCAGTAGCCTTTGTTTCTTTTGCTTCTAGTCTCTTCTTGGGAGATTGTCCAGTATCCACTGCCATACAGGAGGACTGATATTACGTAACAGTTCAGTAGCCTTTGTTTCTTTTTGCTTCTAGTCTCTTCTTGGGGAGATTGTCCAGTATTCACTGCCATACAGGAGGACTGATATTACGTAACAGTTCAGTAGCCTTTGTTTCTTTTTGCTTCTAGTCTCTTCTTGGGGAGATTGTCCAATATTCACTGCCATACAGGAGGACTGATATTACGTAACAGTTCAGTAGCCTTTGTTTCTTTTTTGCTTCTAGTCTCTTCTTGGGAGATTGTCCAATATTCACTGCCATACAGGAGGACTGATATTACGTAACAGTTCAGTAGCCTTTGTTTCTTTTGCTTCTAGTCTCTTCTTGGGAGATTGTCCAATATTCACTGCCATACAGGAGGACTGATATTACGTAACAGTTCAGTAGCCTTTGTTTCTTTTGCTTCTAGTCTCTTCTTGGGAGATTGTCCAGTATCCACTGCCATACAGGAGGACTGATATTACGTAACAGTTCAGTAGCCTTTTGTCTCTTTTTTTTTTATCCACTGCCTTACAGGAGGACTGATAGTACGTAACAGTTCTTCTTGGGGAGATTGTCCAATATTCACTAGTCTCTTCTTGGGAGGTCAATATTCACTGCCATACAGGAGGACTGATATTACGTAACAGTTCAGTAGCCTTTGTTTCTTTTTTGCTTCTAGTCTCTTCTTGGGGAGATTGTCCAATATTCACTGCCATACAGGAGGACTGATATTACGTAACAGTTCAGCAGCCTTTTGCTCTTTTGCTTCTAGTCTTCTTGGGAGATTAGTCCAATATTCATCGCCATACAGGAGGACTGATATTACGTACAGTTCAGTAGCTTTGTTTCTTTGCTTCTAGTCTCTTCTAGGTGAGATTGTCCAATATTGAATGCTATGGAGGACTGATATTACGTAACAGTTCAGGTAGCCTTGCTCTTTTTGCTTCTAGTCTCTTCTTGGGAGATTGTCCAGCATCCACTGCTACAGAGGACTGATATTACGTGGGCCAAAGTTCACAGCAGCCTTTGTTTCTTTTGTCTTTCTAGTCTCTTCCTTTTCTTCTTCTTCTTTTCTTCCGGAGGATCTGGATATTACTTAACAGTTCTTTCTCGTTTCTTCTTCCTTTCCTTTTTCTTTTTACCTTTTTTCCTCACCTACGTTTTTCTCATCCGTTTTCTTCTTTCCTTCCTTCCTTCCTTCCTTCCTTCCTTCCTTCCTTCTTTTCTTTCTTTATTCATCTCTTCTCCTTCTCTTTTATTATTTCCCATTTCTTATTTTCTAGTTTTTATTTACCCCCCATCCTTTCTTCGTGGAAGGGTATGGCCCATTTCACGTTGAAACAGCGCTTCTTGTAACATCACCGATATTAAGCAGCCTCAACCCTGGATTTTACCTAGGTGAGTGACCGCTTGGCAGTACCAATTGGTGTAATGGATAACGAGCACGAATTATAAATTACAGAGCGCCGAATTCGAGTTCCAAGCAGGTTCATTATTTTTCCCTGCACGCAAATACCATAGTAAGCTATGAACTCACTTTTTTCTCCCCCAGGCATGGGTTAATTATATAACTTGTATGCATAATCAATCTTATCTTCATAAAAAATCTTACAATTCTCCCCTCCTTTTTCGTTTTTTTCTCTTTCATCAGTTACACAGTCTCCACCTCTCCTTCTTCATTTCTTCTTCTTCTTCTTCTTCTTCTTTGTCTTCTTCTTTTCTATTTCTTCTTCTTCTTCTTTCATTTCTTCATCTTCTTCCTTTTTTTTCTTCTTCCTTCATTTCTTCTTTCAGTTTTCTTCTTTCATTTCTTCTTCTTCCTTCATTTTTCTTCTTTCTCCTTCATTTTTTCTTCTTCTATTTCTTCTTCTACTTCTTCCTTCATTTCAATTCGCCCTTTATTTCTTTTTCTTTCATTTCTCTTTCTTCTTTCATTTATTCTACTTCCTTCATTTTTCTTCTTTCTTCATTTCATCTTTCAGTTCTTCTTCTTCCTTCATTTCTTCTTCCATTTCTTCCTCTTCCTTCATTTCTTCTTCTTCTTCCTTCATTTTTTCTTCCATTTCTTCCTCTTCCTTCATTTCTTCTTCTTCTTCCTTCATTTTTTCTTCCATTTCTTCCTCTTCCTTCATTTCTTCTTCTTCCTTCATTTTTTTCTTCCATTTCTTCCTCTTCCTTCATTTCTTCTTCTTCTTCCTTCATTTTTTCTTCCATTTCTTCCTCTTTCCTTCCATTTCTTCTTCTTCCTTCATTTTTTCTTCCATTTCTTCCTCTTCCTTCATTTTTCTTCTTTTCATTTTTTCTTCCATTTCTTCCTCTTCCTTCATTTCTTCTTCTTCTTCCTTCATTTTTTCTTCCATTTCTTCCTCTTCCTTCCTTTCTTCTTCTTCTTCTTCTTCTTCTTTTTTTTCTTCTTCTTCTTCTACTTCTTCTTCCTTCATTTCTTCTTTCATTTTCCTTCTTCGGCCTTCATATCTTATTATTATTCTTCCTGTCTTCTTCTCATATGTTTTCCTCTTCTTCCATTTCTTCTTCTTTTCATTTCTTCTTCTTCTTTCATTTCTTCATCATTCTTTTCTTTTTCTTTCGTTTCTTCTTCATTCCTTACGCTTGTTTGTCTCCTTTTACTTCTTTTTTTCCTTCTTCGTTCTCTTTCATCCGTTACTCATCATTGTTCTTTCTTCTCCTCCTCCTTTTCTTTTCTTTCCCTTTCATCTGTTACACTTCTTTCTTTTCTTTCTTTTTTCTTTTTTCTTTTCTTCTTTTGTTCACCTTTACTCCTTCTTCTTCTTTCCTTTCCTCTTCTTGTTCCTTTACTTCCTCAACTATATTTCTTCACCTCTTTCGTCTTTTTTTCTTTTTTCTCATTATAATCATCATCATTACTTCTCGTGACCATCAACCCCTTTTCTTCTCTTTGCCAGTGTTATTTTTATTTTCCTTTTTTTTTTCAATTTATTCTTGGGTCTCTCCCGTAAATATTGGTTCTTCTGCTTTTCTTTCTAATTTCCTTTTGTATTGTTTTTTTTTTTTCGCAGCTTTCCATTCTGTTCCTAATAATACACTTCCTGTCTATTTTCAACTGGTTTCTTTTTATTTTCGGTTTAAATTCCGCCTTTTTTGGCTTTTCTAATTTTTTCACCGCGTTCATCTCTTCCGAATCATAAACGTTCAACACTTTAAAAAATTTTTTTTTTTTTTTCGTTTCACGATTCAATTTTAAATATCCACCATTTCTTCCCCTCCTCCTGAAGCTTGTCGGGCTTCCACTTCGATCAACGGTCAAAAAAATGATGAGACATTTCTGGACAAGATATTAATTTTTTTTTTTATTTATATTGTTATTAAACAATTTTGACGTTACTTTCTTTCTTTTCTTTTTTTTTTTCACTAAACTTTTGGAATAGCGAATGACTTCAAATAAACTTAGTGACTTGACATAGAACAAAATGGCGTCGACGGTAAAGAAAATGACGCCGTAGAAGAGATGCAAAAACATTTGAACTTCTCGAACTGTTTGGAAAATTTTCAGCTCGAATAAGCAAAGTTATTTTAATATTGGTTCTTTGCTGGCATTTTTTTTGCTGACTTATTAATTTGCTTCCCTATTTAATCAATCATATCGTATTTTTCAAGAGGAAATATTGAATGTCTGCCTCCAAGACTTACCTGGAAGCAAGACAGTTCGATTACTGAATATTCTTTTTAGTTGCTATATTTTTCTTCTTCTCCTCCTCCTCCTTCTTCATCTTCTTTGTGCCGTGTCCCTTCAGGGTGTGGGCGATCTTGTCTCTCCACAATTTCATGACATTCATAGCTCTTAATAATTTTTTTTTTCCCAAACCTTCTTACATCATCCGTTTAGTTTTTTTCTTTACTTTTTTTCTTCCCTTCTTTTGTCTCTTTTTTTCTTTCTTCTTTTTTTTCTTTCGTCTTCTTTTTTTTCTTCTTCCTTTTACTCCTTCTTTTCTCCTTGCATTTATCTTCTTCCTCGTCGTCTTCTTTTCCTCCTCCTCTTCCTTCTTCATCTTTTCCTCCACCTTCTTCTTTTCCTCGTCCTCCTCCTTCTTCTTTTCTATCTCCTCTTCCTTCTCGTCCTTCTTCTTCCGCTTTCTGCCATGTTCAGGACGTAGGCAATAATGGCTCTCCACAATTTCCTGTCCTTTGTAGCTCTTAATAAATACTGTCTTTTTGTTATCTCTCCTAAACCTTTTATCTGCCATTCATATACTCAAGCTCCTTCTTCTTCTTCTTCTTCTATGTGTCGTGTCCATTCATGACCTTGGAGATTTTGGCTCTCCATAACTTCCTGTAATTTATAGTTCTTAGAATTAATTACTGTTCCGCCAGATAATTTCACAAAATCAATCTTGTTCTTCTAAACGAGGGTAATCATGGATCTCCACAATCTCCTGTCATTTGTAGATCTTAACATATATGGGTAATTCGTTGCTTACCTTTCTCCCACTTTCCCATAATCTGCACTGTGAGTGTAAAATTTTCTATACCGTATTTCATATTTTCAACTACCTCTTTCTGATAGTAAGTATAATAGTCCATTTTAAATATGATTTTTTATCAAAGTTAGTCGATGTTCACATGTTACGTTCATAGTATACTCAGCATCTTTCTGTAGTGCCACATTGCTGTTGCATCAAGTCTGTTCTTCATCTGTGAGAAGATTGCCCAGCATTCACTGCCATATAGGAGGACTGATATTACATAAGTGTTCAGTAAACTCTTTTTGTTTCTCTTGCTTCAAGCCTCTTCTTTATCTGTGAGAGAGATTGTCCAGCATTCACTGCCATATAGGAGAACTGATATTACATAACAGTTCAGTACACTTTTCTTTGTTTCTCTTGCTTCAAGTCTCTTTTTTCATCTGTGAGGAGATTGTCCAAAATTCAATGCCATATAGGAGGACTGATATTACAGCAGTTAAGTACTCTTTCTTTGTTTCTCTTGCTTCAAGTCTCTTCTTCATCTGTGAGGAGATTGTCCATCATTCACTGCCATATAGGAGGACTGATATTACATAACAGTTCAGTACTTTTTCTTTGTTTCTCTTGCTTCAAGTCTCTTCTTCATCTGTGAGAAGATTGTCCAGCATTCACTGCCATATAGGAGGACTGATATTGCATAACAGTTCAGTACTCTTTTCTTTGTTTCTCTTGCTTCAAGTCTCTTCTTCATCTGTGAGGAGATTGTCATCATTCACTGCCATATAGGAGGACTGATATTACATAACAGTTCAGTACTCTTTTTCTTTGTTTCTCTTGCTTCAAGTCTCTTTTTCATCTGTGAGGAGATTGTCCAGCATTCACTGCCATATAGGAGCACTGATATTACATAACAGTTCAGTACTCTTTCTTTTGTTTCTTTTTGCTTCAAGTCTTTTCTTCATCTATGAGGAGATTGTCCAGCATTCACTGCCATATAGGAGGACTGATATTACATAACTGTTCAGTACTTTTTCTTTGTTTCTCTTGCTTCAAGTCTCTTTTTCATCTGAAGGAGATTGTCAGCATTCACTGCCATGTAGGAGGACTGATATTACATAGCAGTTCAGTACTCTTTTCAGTTTTTTTTCTTTCTCTTCTTCATCTGAGGAGATTTTTTTAACAGTTCAGTACTATTTCTTGTTTCTTTTGCTTCAAGTCTCTTCTTCATCTATGAGGAGATTTGTCCAGCATTCCCTGCCATATAGGAGGACTGATATTACATAACAGTTCAGTACTCTTTTCTTTGTTTCTTTTTGCTTCAAGTCTCTTCTTCATCTATGAGGAGATTGTCCAGCATTCACTGCCATATAGGAGGACTGATATTACATAACAGTTCAGTACTCTTTTCTTTGTTTTCTTGCTTCCAAGTCTCTTCTTCATCTATGAGGGGAGATTGTCCAGCATTCACTGCCATATAGGAGGACTGATATTATTGAACAGTTCAGTACTCTTTTCTTTGTTTTTTTGCTTCAAGTCTCTTTTTCATCTGTGAGGAGATTGTCCAGCATTCACTGCCATATAGGAGGACTGATATTACATAACAGTTCAGTACTCTTTTCTTTGTTTCTCTTGCTTCAAGTCTCTTCTTCATCTGTGAGGAGATTGTCCAGCATTCACTGCCATATAGGAGGACTGATATTACATGTCAGTTCAGTACTCTTTTCTTTGTTTCTTTTGCTTCAAGTCTCTTTTTCATCTGCAAGGAGATTGTCCAGCATTCACTGCCATATAGGAGGACTGATATTACATAACAGTTCAGTACTCTTTTCTTTGTTTCTTTTTGCTTCAAGTCTCTTCTTCATCTATGAGGAGATTGTCCAGCATTCACTGCCATATAGGAGGACTGATATTACACAACAGTTCAGTACTCTTTTCTTTGTTTCTTTGCTTCAAGTCTCTTTTTCATCTCTGAGGAGATTGTCCAGCATTCACTGCCATATAGGAGGACTGATATTACATAACAGTTCAGTACTCTTTTCTTTGTTTCTCTTGCTTCAAGTCTCTTTTTCTTCTGTGAGGAGATTGTCCAGCATTCACTGCCATATAGGAGGACTGATATTACAAAACAGTTCAGTACTCTTTTCTTTGTTTCTTTTGCTTCATGTCTCTTCTTCATCTGTGAGGAGATTGTCCAGCATTCACTGCCATATAGGAGGACTGATATTACATAACAGTTCAGTACTCTTTTCTTTTGTTTCTCTTGCTTCAAGTTCTCTTCTTCATCTGTGAGGAGATTGTCCAGCATTCACTGCCATATAGGAGGACTGATATTACATAACAGTTCAGTACTCTTTTTTTTTGTTTTTTTGCTTCAAGTCTCTTCTTCATCTGTGAAGGAGATTGTCCAGCATTCACTGCCATATAGGAGGACTGATATTACATAACAGTTCAGTACTCTTTTCTTTTTCTCTTGCTTCAAGTCTCTTCTTTCATCTATGAGGAGATTGTCCAGCATTCACTGCCATATAGGAGGACTGATATTACATAACAGTTCAGTACTCTTTTCTTTGTTTCTTTTTGCTTCAAGTCTCTTCTTCATCTGTGAGGAGATTGTCCAGCATTCACTGCCATATAGGAGGACTGATATTACATAACAGTTCAGTACTCTTTTCTTTGTTTCTTTTGCTTCAAGTCTCTTCTTCATCTCTGAGGGAGATTGTCCAGCATTCACTGCCATATAGGAGGACTGATATTACATAACAGTTCAGTACTCTTTTCTTTGTTTCTCTTGCTTCAAGTCTCTTCTTCATCTGTGAGGAGATTGTCCAGCATTCACTGCCATATAGGAGGACTGATATTACATAACAGTTCAGTACTCTTTTCTTTTGTTTCTCTTGCTTCAAGTCTCTTCTTCATCTGTGAGGAGATTGTCCAGATTCATTCACTGCCATATAGGAGGACTGATACAAGGACATAACAGTTCAGTACTCTTTTTTTCTTTGTTTTCTCTTGCTTCAAGTCTCTTCTTCACCTATGAGGAGATTGTCCAGCATTCACTGCCATATAGAAGGACTGATATTACATAACAGTTCAGTACTCTTTTCTTTGTTTCTCTTGCTTCAAGTCTCTTCTTCATCTATGAGGAGATTGTCCAGCATTTACTGCCATATAAGAGGACTGATATTATGTAACAGTTCAGTACTCTTTTCTTTGTTTCTCTTGCTTCAAGTCTCTTCTTCACCTATGAGGAGATTGTCCAGCATTCACTGCCATATAGAAGGACTGATATTACATAACAGTTCAGTACTCTTTTCTTTGTTTCTCTTGCTTCAAGTCTCTTCTTCATCTGTGAGGAGATTGTCCAGCATTCACTGCCATATAGGAGGACTGATATTACATAACAGTTCAGTACTCTTTTCTTTGTTTCTCTTGCTTCAAGTCTCTTCTTCATCT